TCAGGTGACTTAAGACCAATCTCACTCTCAAAGAGTTTTGGACAAATCACTTCCACATAGTTGCCTGCCTCAAGATGATCAACAAGGCGTGGGAAGGGGTGACCAAGAGAATCCTAACTTCTTCTTGAAAGAAGCTTTGGCCGGAGAGCGTTGTCGATCTGTGACTTTGAGGGGTTCGAGATAATACCTATGGAACCTGTAGTCAACGAGATTGCGTCTTTGGCGTCTATCATAGGATTAAAGTTGGATAACAGTGATTTTGAAAAGCCTGTGGAAGAGCACAGCCAAGACTGCCCACCGAAGAGATTATGGAGTTGCATTTTGTTTCACAGTAAGAATTTTTGGAAAAAAGTTTTTTAGAGGAGGAGGAGGAGGTAGAAGTAACATAAAAGCAACAATCTTCTGGCAAAAAAAAAAAAAAAAAAAAAAAAAAGAGAGAACTGCTGAAAGCATGGCAAACTGTTGCATCTTACATTGAGAAGCATCACCCTAATAAGGAAGTGGCTATGCGCGTTGCAAGTTTATTTAATAACTAGATGTACCCGACCACGCGTTGTTGTGGAACAGAATGGTGAAATGGAGAGGAAAGAAAATAGCTCTCAGCTAACAGTGGTTGTCATATCCCCCCTCCTCTCCCCTCGACCCAGTCATATCTCCCTCTCCGAAGGATTGAAAAATCATCCATGGCGAAATTATTAAAATAGAAATAGTTAAGAACTGAGAACTTTAAAATAATATTTTAAGCTCTCTCAGCTAACTGTGTCTGGCATACCCCTCCCACCCCTCCCCCTCCCACCCCTCCCCCTCCCACCGCTCCCCCAACCATATCATCCTCTCCGAAGGATGGGAAAGTCACAGTGTGGCGAAACATTGTAACTAAATTGAGCTTGGCATCCGTGTACACCCATACTTAAATAGGTTGCATTAACTTGTACAGAGAAGTAAATGTAGCCAGTGTAACAGCTACCACATCACCCATCCAGTACCAGTACTACTGCAACCACTACCACCACCACCATCAGAATAAAAACAAAAAACATTCACTACAGTCTGTGTAGGTTGGTGTAGAAAAGAGGAGTTAGCGACGCATGCTGTCTCCACGGACTTTTAGTTTAATGTTGTCCCCGACACAGAAATGTAAAAAAAAACTTCATCACGTAACCAATGATGGAACCCATAGTGAAAAAAAAAAGTAAACTATACTCACGAATAGCGGAGAAAAATACCCCGCACCCGTCATCTCTCCCTCTCCGAAGGAGCGATTTTTAACTGACCTTGGCATCCGTGTCCACGCAAATTAAACTGGACTGTAAGCCGTCTTAGGTAACAGTTTCTGTCATCGCCGAAGAGTTTTTGATTGAGAAGCGTCGCGAGGAGGCTAATTGTGACTTAACTGAAATCGGATATCTGTGGGCTAAAGGCTCAAATATCACAGTCTAGCTGTAACCCACAACACAACGTGGCAACCACCCTTTTAAGGGAAAAAGAACATTTATCCCCCAGTGGGGAATCGAACACCGGTCACCCGCGTGAAGGATGGAATACTTAAACCTATACTACCAAAGACTGAAGAGTTTAGGTCAGATATCGCAGCCTAGCTGTAAACCACAACACAACGTACCAACGGCTCTCTCTAGAACGAAGAATACCCGTAACATGACAATTGAGCATCACGTCGCCGCTGTCGCGGACTAGCTGTAAATCTCAAAACCGAAAAAGGCGTAGATATCGCAACCAAGCCATAAACTACAACACAACGTGCCAGCCGCCCAGTTAGTTGCTAAAAAAAGATTATATAACCTAGCGGGGAATCGAACGCGGGTCACTCGCATGATAAGCAGAATAGTTACCAACTACGCTATAAAACACTCAAACAGATAGTGGAAATGAGATTATATAATAATTAAAAGTTCAATAAGAGCTCGGCAACCAAAAATAGCCAATCAACTAAAAAGAAACAAAACAATGATTTGACCGTTGCTGGAGCTACGTCGTTCGTGGTTTGTGCAATTTTCTGAAAAAAAAACACGCTTGGAGTCAAAGGCAACGTTTTGTGCAAATTTGAAAGCAATCGGTTCAGTAGTTTCCGAGTTAAGGGATTACACCATCGGAAAATTAACATTTTTATTAATATAGATAATGCTGTGTCGCATTTTCGCCAATTTTTGAAAAGTCAGCAAAAACAAATGTCTCTGGACATCTTTCTAAAAAAATAATAATTAGCTATGTATCATAATTATTTCGACTTTTTTTTCTGCAAATCGAATTCGCATTCCAGGTGGGTTCGTTTCGTTCCGCGTTTGAAGAAAAGATGAAGATGATTCACTCTCCTTAACAATGTGCAAATAATAAACGTTAAACATTGCATTTTGTGAGTTTTTTTTTTTTTTGTATATGGTACGCATAATCGAAGTGAAGAACCGTTTTGAGGTCTTGATGTCTGTACAAGAGGAAATGACACCTGATGAACTGGCGGTACAAGCTAGGGATATCTTGATAACAGCAGCTAAAGACTTAATACCCACCAGGACTAAGCAACATAAACCATGGATCACACCATACACGTTAGAACTAATAAAACAACGAAGGGAACTGAAAAAGAAAGGAGAAACCAATGACAGTAGGATGAAGTATAAATTTTTAACACGAGAAATAAGAAAGTACACAAGAAAGGATAAAAATCAGTATGTACAAGATTGCTGTATTAAAATAGAGCAGCATCACAAAAATGGAAGAGATTACGAAATGTTCAAGGAAATGAAGTTATTGACAAGAAATTTTCAACCTCAGTTAAATGTTATTTGTGACAGGTTGGGAAATACTTTAACAGAATCTAGACAAATTCTAGGAAGATGGCAGGAATACTGCAGCGGAATGTATGATATGAATGACAGTGAGGATATGAATGATATACATGAACCAGTAACAGTAGAGGCAGAACCTGAACCTTCATTAGATGAAATTTCATGGGCAATAAGGAGCCTGAAAAATGGTAAATCACCTGGATGTGATGAGATACCAGCTGAATTGATTAAAGCGAGAGGAGAAGAAAGCATAAAAATCTATCATGCATTATGTGAAAAGATATGGAAATATGGTATTTGGCCAAAAGACTGGAAAAGAACTATCTTCATTCCAATACCAAAAAAGGGTGACCTGAAATTATGTACAAACTATCGAACTATTGCCCTGATCAGTCATGCAAGTAAAATTCTACTAAAAATTATAATGAGAAGACTGCAAAAGAAAATGGAAGAAGAGATTAATGTAGCTCAGGCTGGATTTAGACAGGGAAGAGGAACAAGAGATCATATATTCAACATGCGTTTAATAATAGAGAAGTGTAGAGAATTTAATGTAAATCTGTTCTTATGTTTTGTGGATTATTCAAAAGCATTTGACTGTGTACAACATCAGAAGCTTTGGGAAATCATGAGGAATATGGGCTTTCCATCACATATAGTGCAGCTCATTAAAATGCTCTATCAAGACCAACAAGCAGCAGTCAGAATAGATGGAGAGACATCAGACTGGTTTGGCATCAAGCAAGGAGTCCGTCAGGGATGTGTGCTGTCACCGTATTTGTTCAACCTGTACGCCGAAAATATAATGAGAAATGTAAGAGATGATATAAACAAGGAACAATATGATGCCCTAAACATCGGTGGTCATGAAATACCAGAAATTCGTTATGCTGATGATACAGTATTACTATCAACATCACAAAATGGTTTAGAAAACTTATTAACCTCACTCCAAAGAAATAGTGAAAATCATAACTTATTTCTTAACACAGCAAAAACAAAGATAATGCATACAAACAAAACTGCCATGGAGAAGGAAATATATGTTAATGAGGAAAGATTGGAAGTGGTGGAAACTTTCGAATATCTTGGGTCACTGGTTACCAACAATGGTGACACAATGAAAGAAATTAAACGGCGACTATCAATTGCTCTTCAAAGACTAAAACAACTGAATAAATTATGGAGTTGTACAGATAGAATTACAAAGGTCAGATTTTTAAGAGCATGCATCTTTCCCATTGCAACATACGCCTGTGAGACCTGGACACTTACTAAACAAGCGGAACAGCGCATAAATGCATTTGAATATAAATGTTACAGACAGGTTCTAAGAATATCTTGGGTAAAGAAAAGAACAAATGCATCCATACTTCAAGAGCTGAATTTCGAAGAGGGTTGGCTAGTAAAGACAATAAAACAAAGAAAATTGAAATATTTTGGTCACTTGAAACGTCATAGAGGTCTAGAGAGAACAATAATGGAGGGGTATATGCCTGGGAAGAGAGGAAGAGGAAGGCCAAGGAGAAGATGGGTGCAGGATGTGGCAGATGATCTCCAGATGGGTGTATCAGACGCAGGACATCTTGCTCATGATAGGAAGGTTTTCCGGAGGGTTGTTATGGCAGCGAGGTTCCGCGAGGGACATGCTACTGAATGAATGAATGAATCGTATTTACATAATTTATATGAGAAAAATTGTTTCGCATAACGTGTGTTTCGCTTAACAAGTAGATTCTGAACGAATTATGCTCGTTTAGCCAGGTTCCACTGTATATGTATATATATATATATATATATATATATATATATATATATATATGTGTGTGTGTGTATATATATATATATATATATATATATATATATATATATATATATATATATATTTCTAAGTTTGATAGGTACATATAATAAAAAACACAATCTCGCTGACTGATGTAAAGGTATCAGTTCTTTTGCCCTGTCCATTTGATAACATAGAGCCTTCAGTACATTCGCTTTATCATATAGTAGGTCAACGCCTAGAGAAGCTGCAGCAGCTTATCTATCCACCTACTCGTTATCTTGCACACCTGACTGCTATATATATATATCTGTATGTCTGTCTACTGCATGGCTGTCCGTCTTTTCGTAACTCTGTTTTAGATGAAATCGATCATTTGCCCTAATTTTTTTTTTTTTTTTTTTACATTTCAGAAATTATGTCAAAGTCTTGGAGCAAAATTGGTTGAGATTGATACGAAAGAAGAAAACGACTGTATTGTCCATGAGATACAGTCCATAGATTGTAAGTTTTTAAAAAAAAATGTTTATCTAGTGTGGATTCATGGATCAATTTAGAAAGTGCGGTAAGTAAACTAAAGGACCCTTTTCCACGCCTTTAGGCCTTTATAGACTAATCGGCACAAGATGGGTAATGTGGTCAGCATTACGCCGGCCGCCTCTACTTCCCGGGACTGCACCCGGTACCCACTCAAGGCTGGGTGGACCTGGAAGCCATGGCCAATTTTTAAAATGTCCGGTTCCTCCAGAAAGCGAACCCACGACCTTCCGAACCACGGTGAGCGTCTATCCGCTCCGCCACGGGGACTCCCAGACTCACTGTATCTAACAAGAAACTATTAAAAAACATCCAATTAGAATTGTTTACATTAAAGCAGGAGTACATCTGCCTGACAGATATGGAACCAACACACAAATAATCCTGACTTGTGAAAATGAGGCGCACGCAAAACTCAGGTTTCAGAATAATACCAAAGCCTACAAGTAGTCGAAGAACCAGCATCTTCCAATTGTCTGCGAACGTTGAAGAGCGTCTGGTAGAGCCGTTACAATATGCGGAGACCCGGGTTCGACGCGTTGTAAGATAATTGAATTTTCTGTTCGGGGCAATATTTAACATCCTAATCTGCACAGTCCGTGGCGAAAACCCAAGCCGTACGGGCTTAACTCCACAAGCCCCTGAACCTCTGTCTACATCGCCATTAAAAACTGGTACATACAGACAGCAGTAATAGTGACAGAAAGGTAAGAAGGAGCAGAAGACTACAACTGAATTTGTACAAAAAAAGAGAAGGCCACTTGTTACATCAGCGAGACATCTGAGCTATAATTTCTCTAGACTAATATGTTTATAATTTAATTGTCGAGGCACACGGATCACATCCGCTCAAGATTTATCACAAAGACAAAGAATAGAACAGGACAGGCCAGGTTTGCCTTTTATTACATGAAGAACATTTTATGCAATAAATCCATTTGGGTTCAGAAAAGAATTCGCTCGGTATATAGAGCCAGTTTTAGCATACGGCTGTGAATCCTGGATGATTAATAAACATGCTGAACAATTTCTTGAGACAGAGATGTTGTTTTACAGCGGACCGCTTTGAATTCCTTGGACAGCTTAAAAAGTGAATCACAGCTGTCTGAAAGAGTTCGTTAGTTAGTTGGTTGGTTGGTTAGTTAGTTGGTTGATTGGTTGGTTGTTTTGTTGGTTAGTTAGTTAGTTAGTTAGTTAGTTAGTTAGTTGGTTAGTTAGTTAGTTAGTTAGTTAGTTAGTTAGTTAGTTAGTTAGTTAGTTAGTTAGTTAGTTAGTTAGTTAGTTAGTTAGTTAGTTAGTTAGTTAGTTAGTTAGTTAGTTAGTTAGTTAGTTAGTTAGTTAGTTAGTTAGTTAGTTAGTTAGTTAGTTAGTCAGTTCGTTCATTGACAGATTATCCTTGTTGCACATTGAACCATTCAGTCAATAATTGCCTGAAACTCCTCCTTCGTATATCCCACAGCGTCTAGCGGCTTGCAACACCAGTTCCGTTGTGGTTTCTTATTCTTCTTTGGCTTACTGCATAGTGTTCTTGTCCATACCCTTATTAACATGTTCTTGCAGTCTGTTTATAGCTGCAGATTCACATTCATCACTTGGTTCTCGCAAACGTGTTACTTCTCGTAGTGCATTCGGAATATCAGCATTGTCCGTGGCTCGTCCGCCCTCCCAATATCTTTACCTGCAAGTCGTTATGTTGCTAGATACACGTCACCATTTACTGAACATAATCCGAAATGTGATACAGTAAATATCATGCAGACTGCCTACACTTTTGAGGATATTAGATGGAACTCAACTTCTCATGTTTGAAAAAATAAAACATTCTTTAAATATATATATATATATATATATATATATATATATATATATATATATATATATATATATATATATATATATATATATATATATATATATATATATGGGTAATAAACAAAAAAGCATGCCGACTTTTAAGTAAATTCGAATGTACATCGACCAGGCGGGCAGAAGATCCTTTTGCGCTGTCATTTTCACTAAAATGTGTTTCGTAGCCCAATTGTCAGCCCACTTAGGATCAGGCAAGTGGCCATACATTTAGTTAGCTTGAGGTTGATGCTTTACCTTACATCTTTTATTTTGTTATGATGTTGCGTTAAACTTTTTTTTTTTTTTTCTGAAGTCAGAATTCAGTTTCTATTAAATAATTTACAATAACATGAGAAATGAGGTTTAAAGAAGGCTCTGCAGCACCGGCGCGGATCCTGAAAATACTTTGGATAGCTTTTAAACTCCAAATTGTGTCCAGGCAGTGCCGTTAGGCTACTCTTTTCGATTTCTAACTGCCAAGGGATTTTTTCACGTGCGCAACAATACACACGGGCGTCTGATTTCACAGAAGAAATTGGTAAACGTGCAAGTCCACGTGACAAAATCCAATCCCTTACCGGGGATTGATCCTGGAACCTCTAGCACTCTAGGCAGAAATGATGCCTCGAAACCACGCAGCTCCGCTTACAAAAAGATATGATCATATAATGTCCAAAATGTTAATAATAAAAGTAGCTTTTTTAAATACGTGTTTGCGCTACATTGTCATCCGCAAAGCGCGCGTGGGTGTTGTGTGAGCGAGTGTATGTTTGTTTATGTGTGTATGTGCGTGTATATACACCAAAAACAGTGTAAAAATCAAACTCAAAGGTGTACCAGATATACAAACAAAATCTGAATCATCAGCTGTACAAACAAATGCATCACGGAATAAAAGTTAAACAGTTGATGATAAGGTGAAAAAATAAAGCAAAGATAACATACTATCACATGACAAGGAAACACACAGAGGGACCTTCTACACTAAAAAGGATTGTGGTCAGTTCCACAATAACCTCCCCAAACAAACTAGGTCACGTTCCATTCATAATTTGTTTAGACTGATCTGCTGTCCGAGGAAAGTACAGATTTCAACTATGTTGTTTACTTTCTGGCTTGTCTTGCTTTTACGTTTTTCTTCCGAGAAAGAAAATGCGTGTGATATAAGTTGCAGCACTTTCTAGGAGAGTTGTGTGTTAAACCCAGTTTCTAAATGTTTTTTTTAGTGTTAAATGAGCTGGCGTGCTTAAATATACAACAAGAGATATCAACGGCATTGCCGAACACCCCCGTAACAGTGTGGGGAGGTCGGGTGTTTGATGGTGGATCAACCAGAAGTGAGCCTATGTGTGGATATGCGGTCTGTGGGAAGACTTTCGTGGAACTAACCCAGATTGTTTTCTCTTGTTGCTCATGCCCTGTGGCGTCGGTATAGTCAGTTGTCTTCTCTTGTTGCTCATGTCCAGTGGCGTCGGTATAGTCGTTCCAGGAGTCGTGTCTAACTTTATAATAATATGTTATTAAGTAACCGTTTGGTGTAATCTGTTCAAATTTGACATGTAACTTGTTAGAAATCATTTTTTAACGTAGACAAACATCTACTTTTTCATTTTTTATTATTTGCGGTGTATTAAAAACAAAAAGGAACCAGAATCCGATTCAAAGCTAACAATCAAGACATTTTGGTTTTTTATTACTCAATAACTCTTTGAAAAGGGTGAAGTTGTTAGTTTTAATGTGTTATATTTTTTTAGAAGTTAATCAATGTTTTCACCCGGGAAGTTAAAATAATATTGGTAAAAGGCAGCAGGAGTTAGAGTAATAGATAGAACAGCAATTTGGAATGACATAACATTTGCATAGTTCACAAAAAGGGCAGACGTATATTATGTTAGTTTAAACCAGTGCACGCATTATTTGTTGCTTGCATTCATAACCACTCACATTCTTCTTTCCAGTTGGCACAGCTTGGATAGGATTGACTGATAATGGAACTGAGGGGCAGTGGCGATGGTCTACCAATAGGGCTCCTGGTTCATTCAGAAACTGGGCGAGCGGTAATCCTGACAACTATCTGGGAGGTAAAAACCCATAAATGTTTAGAAAGTACGTGGTTCTATGGCTAAGATGCTACAGAGTGAATGGCGGTTTGCAACTTGGGTTATGGTTTGCAATACTGCTGCACCATCTGCACCTTTTGGTCCAACCAATCCGATGTCAGCAAACCTAACGGTCGACAACACAATTTATTGAAAATCATGGCACAGAGATAAAAATAACCGATTTTTTTTTCAAGGTGCTAAGCTCAAATATGACAGAAGCGAAATTGGCTACAGTTTCTTTGAAATCTGACAACAAAAATAGGTATAGGTATATAATATGATAAAGTAGCATTTTAATATTATACCGACACTCTTTTGACGACCCCCTCCCAATCCCTACCACCCCCCCCCCCCCTTTTTTTTCCTGAGGAAAAATGTCACAAAACAGCAACAAATCAGTGATTTTTTTTTATTTTAAATATGCCGCGTGTTGTAGTAAGTAGTAAAATGAAGATTCCTTTTCACGCCTTAGGCGCATATGGCAAATGAGAAGAGCACCCACATTTTTACAGATCAATCAGCATTAGATGTCTTATGTGGTCAGCATTTCGCCGGCCGTCTATACTTTCCCAGGACATCCATCCTGGTACATGTTTTAGTCTGGGTCGACCTACCACGCCCCATACCATGAAAAAAATCCACGCAGCTAGCTGGTTTTTCGATCGTGGTTTCGTGGGAATTACGAGTCGGACTCGAAACGCCTAAGCCACGGACGCCGCGTTACATGTTGTATTCATCACTAATTGCTTTGATTCACTGAGCAAGAAATAAGAGTTATGAGTTATGAATTAGATTATCTTCACAGCACTCCGGACACATCTATAGGCGCTCAGATTCATCAGCGTCGTGCATTTAATAGTACCTGTCCTAAGTTGGTTGGAAAACCTGCATAGACTTCACATGCGAAGCCTGCTGCATTGAGCCATGTCTCAACCAGTCCTGTGTTGGCTAACAAGACTTCGTGTGCGTCCGGTGTGCTTCTCATGCTTGGCTGTGCCGATCTTTACTCCCAATTCGCGTATTCTTAGCAGTGATGTGGACATACTGCTTCGAAAAATCCTCAGAACGTCCTATCTATCTATGGGCAATGACAATGTCTGCGTGATCCATGGGACGGCCATCTTCAATTATTGCTGCACCTGTCAGTCTATCAGCTCTATCGTTACCAACAACGCCTGCATAACCTAGGGCGAATATGAAAGTAACTGCACACACAGGAGAATTTTTCAACGACTCAAGCCACTGTCTGCGTAACCAGCTTGACTCGACCAGCCGGATCATGCTCAAAGAATCACTTAGCACAAAGACGCGAGAATAGTCCTGTAATCCCAGCCCCACGAAAGTCTGTGTCAACCCCAATCACCTCCATCGTCATGCTGCTTGTGATCATGAAAAAGGCACCGCTGGCTGCCTGAAGAGCAATCTGTAAATGCCCATGCACTCCTATCTCCTCGTATAAGGGACCCGTCTCTGAAGATCACTACATCTGTCTCATCTGAATTGCCACTAATAAGCGCGCAAACCTCGGCATTGACAGCAGCTGAATTCTGCTCCCGACAATTCCTATCGAGCGTCACGACACAAGAGAATGTGAGACTGGGCGAATTAAGCGCTGGTATCCACTCCTCACCTGGATGGATGTCATTAAGGCCGCAAACCTGCATGATTTCATCCTCTGTCCTTGTCCCATACCGCTGGGGTCGCGTGCCTGATTTAAGGATTGCTTCTTAAGAACCAACAGCACTCTGAAATAATAATGTTGAGGCGTCGGCTCGTATTTGTCTAAGGGAGATCCCGTGGTAATTTATACGCTCAACTTATTTCAAGAGTAGGGCAACTCAAGCTCTGGCACTACAGAATATCTAATATTCCTAGGCACACTTGGCTGGACACTCCCACTACTATAAAAAGATAGCCCCCTAGGCTATGATAGTATACTATCATAGCCATGTTAGCACAGATTAACATTATTAATTGAACATACATGTAGTTTAGACAGCTAAGAACAATGAATGAGTGACACTCCAGTCAATATTGGAACCTTTGTAATATTGTAATAAATTCAACATCAACATGATATATGACTCAAAGGAAGTTAAAAAGCATTGGAATATTCAACACCGAAATTCTCTTGACGGACATTGAGGAATCTCTTAGAGGCAGCCTGACATCATCATGGTGATTTGGCGTGGACCTGTAAATATAGAACATGGCATGACCATAGAGTTCACTACTTATCTGTTCCTATTCTAGTTAGGAGTCACTGCACTTATCAGTTCATGATACTGGAACATGCTGGCCTTCTGAGAAAGTTCACTTCAATGGTTGATCTGGCAGACACAGTCACATATAGATCAAAATTTGAGCTGAACAAGCTCCTGAAGAGGGTGTTCTGGCCCAAGGGTGGTCCTGGTGGACATGAACAACAGCCTTTCAGCCACTGGAACCCAACACGCTCCTGAATAAGGCACACTGGTGTGAATGTCAATGGCGCCGCCTGTAAGCGGATGCCTACTCTTTGGCTCCCACCTTGCTGTTTGCTATAGTGATGGTTTGGTAGTAGGTACTTTTGTGGTTGGTGCTTTTGTGGAGGGCACTTTGGTGGGTGGTGCCTTTCTAGACTGCTGATTCAATGCCAGGCCTCCCAGGAGATATCATCCTGTATCAGGAAGGAACTCAGAAAGAATTAGTAATCATTTCAGAAGTTACAGGCTCAGCTCATTTATTTACCCTCGACCCCTGGCAATAACTCAGAGGACAGCTCCAGGATAACGAGACAGCAGAAATCTCCAATTTTTTCTCTGTCGGTCAGTCAGGAACAGGGACAGGAGACAAGTACAACAGTGGAGACCGATAGATTCTCTCAAACATAGACCATTAACTCTCCACACCCACCTCTGCAAATGTAGATATGCATCCCATCTCTCTCGCACGTCTATATTTTATACCCTCCACCAGTATGCTCATCCCACACACTGTGTTATGCTAAAACCAACCGCTGACGTCACAGCGTCTAACCAACTGAAGGGTGACCCAGTTAAATGTGTCTGCTAATCGAAACAACTCGGTTGTCTGGTTAGAGAATAATTAACTTCCTGGGTTTAATATCTTTATAATGATGTGGGTCATGTAAAAAGCAAACTATTAGCCTGCAAAGGGAAAAGTTTGATTTAGGGGCTTGAGTGTCTGGACATCAAGAACGCCTAGTTATGTGCGGTCACACAAATGAATCTTCCCACCCTGCAGCAGTAGCCAAATTTAAAGAGACATATATCATGGTACCGTAAACTATAATCAACTTACCCAAGCTTAGGAATCCTTTAAAGATTAAACTGGTATTTTGAATGTGCGTGCCAAAGTTTAATGAAAGCATTGAAATGCATCTCGACACCTCAGAGGTCTGACAAAGAATGCCTGCCCCAGATTCCGCTTGGCGTCTCTAGAAAAGAAGTCCTGTATTTGTGCCCAAGGAGTAAAAAGGCATACAGGAGTTTCTGAATATATTCAAGAAATTATATATCCCCCAGTTGCAAGTCTGAAAATGTAGACTTCTCAAAACAACTAGAGGGTCTAGAAATATTTATTTCACCAGATAGAAATATATATCAATATGAGGGACTATATCCTCCCCCCCCCCGGACTAGTTTAAATGTTAAATGTAACCTGCCCGCTAAGGATGTCAACGTCACGTCTAGTCCACAGTTTAGGGTTGGCTGTTCACTCCACGAAAGTCCTACCCAGCTATAATTTGCCCCTTTTAAGCCTATTGCCTTTTTCCTTGAAGATCATATGGTGCAAAGGGTGCTTCAGATGTGAGCTTATCTTGAGGTATGCACGAGCCCTCCAGATCTTGATCATGTAGTTCGTGGTAGGGAAGTCAAGAAGGTACCTCTCACTCTGAATTGACTTGGCAATCTTTGATGATCTCTTCCATATACTAAGAGGTCATCAGCAAATGACAAGGTCCTGCCACTTCAGTGCAACTGCTGCTCAGTTGTCAGCACTGTTTACACGTTGAAAAGCATTGGCATCTATACCATAGTTATTCTCAAATAGGTCTAAGCGGTAATCGAGCAAATGGATCTCCAGCGACTTACTTCAGCCAAGAATGTGAAACTAACAATATGTCCTCAACACATTTCCAGATTTGACGTTCCCAAAAATATTTTTGCAACCAGATGAAACTCATGTTAAGCCTACTTCTTGTTTACTTTAAACCACTTTCGAAACATCTTGTCCTCAAAACAGGTCATAATCTGCCAACAGTAGAGAATTACCTCTTTAATTTTTTTATCTGCTAAGTCGTGGAAATTTGCTAGCCAAGTACCTCACAAATAATATTCTTTGGCCACCTAATGAGAAGAGAGATATTGGGGAACCCGTGACAACTGGACAGATCAGTATAAAATAATGGGGTAGAGGCAGACCAAGAGAGATTATGCTTGATGGGATGAATCGATGGCATAGCGAGAAATCATCCAGAGAGCTGTTCCAGGCAACCAGGAATCCTGATCTGTGGAGACGCGTGAGCGCCAACTCCAGTTGGCAGGGCACATGATGATGATAAAGTACCTGAGATTAAATGAAGTCTGATCAAAGGTTCTTACGAAGTTCTTCATCCCAGTGAGTTTGGTGGGCATGAATAATACTGGGTGTTGCACATTCTTATCACCAACCTTTATAGTTTCTCCTCACGTAGTGTAAAGTCGGATGTAGCTAGGGTATTTGGCGACTATGGTAACCTAGCCTATTTGTCGCCATTGGTTGGCGGCGCGTGAGAATGTTACAAAAATTTACATCAGCAATTGCTCAATTATGGCAAACTACTGGACGTAAATTTGCCTAGAAAAACAACACAACAACCAGGGGCTGTTGTTGTTGGTTCTGCAACGTCCTGTAAAGAATACGCTACTAACCATTGCTCAATTATGCGGGCAATTTTTATAATTATTTTTTTTTTCTTTCATGTCAAATTAGCA